GAGGAGAAGGGTGAGACGGAGGAGGGCGAAGCGGTGGCCAGCGTTGAGCTAAGGAGGAGAAGGATCTAGCATAGATCTAGCACCCCGGCAGTTCAGGAGCCAGCGAACCGACAAACGCTCGGGCGAGGACGCACCTTCGAAGTGCCCCCGAGGCCGTCCCTGGGCGAGAAGGTGGGACAACAAGTCAAAGTGCTGGGCTGAAGCCGGCGTTGTCGCCACAGCTCCTTGGCGGGCCTGCCGTGCAGATTCGCACCCCACGCCAGCCCACGTGCCGTTCACTGTCGCCCTTCTCGCACGAACTGCTCCCAGCGTTGTAGCCGATATGCTCTTCGATGCCGCCCTTCTCGCATGACCGACTCCCAGCGTTGTAGCCGATGTGCCGCCCACTGCATTCCTTCTCGCATGAACTACTCTCAGCGGTGTAGCTGTCTATTGCTCACTGCCGCCCTTCTCGCATCAACTATTCCCAGCGTCTAGCTGATATGTCGCTCGCTGCCGCCCGTCTCGCACGAACTGCTCCCAGCGCTGTAGCCGATATGTCGTTCACCGTCGCCCTTCTCGCATGGACGACAGACCGCGACGTGACTGCCTGACTTCTCACACGAATCGCTCCCAGTATCGCAGCTGACGATACTCGGCACCTCCTGCCCCCTTAGGCGGGGACGGAGGTTAAAATGGGGAAACGAACCCTATACACCGACGCTTTTTCCGACCCTGCGCTGCAATTCGCACAGGAAAGCGGATCTTGGTGTATGTGGGATCCTGGTGTGTACAGTTTTCGATGTTTCCGTTGGAAAATGGGGGAAAGGTATACACCAGACCACCCCGACGTCGTCCCCGACCCTGGTAATGTACGTGTTCCAGTTTCCGATAAAACACTCCCAGCGTAGCTCGTGTGTCGTTCTCTGCTGTCCTTCTCGCAGGAAGCTAAGAAGTGTCTTGCCCACGCCTCGCTCCTCGCTGACGACGTCTGCTGCTGGTGCTTGCCACTCTCGCACGCTGCAGCCGATGGCTACCGGCGCCGCTGAGCCCGCCACGTGTTGCCCAGCACCCAGAGTGCACGCAAACACTGCGCGCTGGGAAGACCAAAAGGTACTGATACCGCTAATCCCCGGACCTCTCCCGGGGTGCGTTCTGACCAGGATTTCGAGGCGAATCCAGCGGTGGCGACGAGGGCCACCCAGGAGGCCCAAAAAGAGGAAAACGGGCGAGGGGGTAGAGGTTTGGGTACCTTTTCCTCCTCCGACGCGCTCTTCTCGCATACGCCCACTCCAGCGCTGCAGCGGATGACGCCTGGGTGCGGTGCCCACGCTGCGTCAGTACCCACTGCATGCCTGCGCTCCTGCCCGCGCCGACCCCCAGCGCTGCATAGCGGACGGCGTCGGGCCGCGGTGCCCGCAGCACGGCTGCTCCACTTGCCTGCGTTCGCGCACGACCTGATCCCTGCAGTGTAGCTGTAAGTCGGGCACGTGTCCCTCTACAGGAGGAAGATTCAAAAATAGTCAAAGAATAAGCAGGGGACGATTCTCCAATATTTTTTGACCATTTGGAGAGATTGTTGGGGTATGTTTTGTTCTTCGTCCAAGATCCCCCTGTAGGAGGACAGGCCCGACTTAAGTGTAGCTGATCAGTTCCCACGCGCCCTTTCTTTCACTGTCAGCGTCTGCTGTCGCTGCCTGCCCTCTCGCACGAGCGGGCACCTGCAGTGTAGCCGATGATCCGCGCCCACGTTCGCGTGCCCTGCAGTGCCAACTGCCGACCCTGGCCGTCGTTCTGAGGGAGCTGATCCCTCCACTGTAGCTAGACGAGCGCGTTCCACTACTCGCACAGTGACTACTGGCAAATGGCCTGGATCCCCCACGGGGGATCTACGATAAATTACATCAAAGCAGACATGTGTGTTTTTTCGGACGTTTGCGAGTATGCACTTTGCGAGTAGTGGAACGCGCTCGGTCAGTTGCTGATCAACATCGCCCACGCTCGACCTGCTCGTGGTAGCAGCGCTGCCCTCTCGGAAGAGCTGATGCTGATCCGCTCCTGCGCGCCCCAGAGGCCAGAAGCCCTCGTCGACCAGGAATTCGGGAGCCAACGCTGCACCCTGGCAGGCCTGATCCAGCGGGGCACCGTGCCGTGCGCCTTTGCCCGCCTCCACCTGCGTGCGCCAGGGCTGAACCTAAACGGTATTGTTCGTGTTCGTGTTGTTCTCGTTTTCCCTCGCTTTGCCTTCAGTACGCCTCTACCACAAAACGGAGTCGAAACGAGAACGGCGCACGAAATCGCCCAAACACCGTTTAGGTCCAGCCCTGGCGTGCGCGGTGAGTCGCGCACGCCCGCGGCCCGCTCCCGCGGGAGCAGCCGCTGAGGCCCGGCTTGGGGGGCGGTCGGCCTGCCAGTGCGTCTCGCTTTTGCCTGCGCTGTGGCGGCGGCGCCGCCGACGCAGGGAGGGGGGGGGGCGGGGCAAGGCGACGCGTCCTGGGGCCGGCGTGCATGCCGGACGAGCGCTGCCGCGCCTGCCCGCTCGCACTCGGCGCATTCTTGCGCGTCCCAGAGGCCAGAAGCGCTTCCGCGTGTGCCCGCTCGCACGCGGCGCACCCTGGCGCTGCAGCTGAGGATTCTGGGGCACCACGGTCTGATGTCGGTGGCTCGCAACGCCCGATGCCATCCCGCAGTTGGTGGGGCCGCAACGCCCGATGATCAGCTCCACAAGCGCGGGCGGCTCGGGCGCAGCACGGCCAGGAGGAGGAGGAGGAAGAGGAGGAGGATGGGGAAGTGGCAAAGAAGAAGAAGAAGAAGAAAAAGAAGCAGAAGAAGAAGAAGAGTGAAGGAGGAGGAGGAAGAAGAGGACGAAGAAGAAGAAGAAGAAGAAGAAGAGGAGACGGCACTGGAGGCGAAGAGAGAGGCGGAGGAGGAGGAGAATGGGGGAGCAGGGTGGCTAGGAAACCAGGTAGGACGCACGTCTTACGAGAGCCTCTCCACTGGCGTTGAGTCGATCGCACGTCGTGCAGTGACAGGCCAGAGTGCGAATCGAAAGTTATTCGTCGACCTCCTGATCTCCTCCTCCTCCACCTCCTCCTCCTCCTGCTCCTGCTCCTGCTCCTGGTCCTCCTCCTCCTTCTCCTCCGCCTCCTCCTCCTCGTCCTCCTCTTTCTCCCCCTCCTCCTCCTCCTCCTCCTTCTCCTCCTCCTCCTCTTCCTCCTCCTCCTCCTCCTCCTCCTCCTCCTCTACATCCTGATATGTCCTCATTCTTCTGGTCTTTTCCTTTCATCCTTCTTTCTCGTCATTCTCCTCCTCTACCTCATCCCGTCTCGTGGTCCTCCTCCATCTCCCCCTCCTCCTCCTCCTCCTCCTCCTCATCCTGCTCCTCTTCTTCCTCGTACTTCTCGTCCTCTGCCGTCCTCCAGACGGGGCCCGAAACGGGGCAAAACGCCAAATATCCAGATCTGAGGGCACCTCTTCCCAGACCCTAGAACTCCCTGGGACCTCCTCTCTCCGCCCCCTCGCTGGAGGAGGGGCGAGGGAGGGAGGAGCGGGAAGGAGTGGAGGAAGAGCTGTCCATCTCCTCATTATCTTGCGCTGTGCTTTCGTCTCGCTCTCTCTCTCTCTCTATATCCCCCCTCTCTATATCTTTATCTCTCCCTCTCTCTCTCACAGTGTGTTCTCCCTACATAAAAATTACATGTATATATATATATAGGTATATATTTAAACACAAACACATGTATAGGCTACACAATCGATTGTCTGTGCGCATACCGTGTATGGATATGTATGGTGTCTCTTCCTCGATGTGTCGATCTACGTAAACTGAACCATGTCCACCTCTCTATCTCTCACTCTCGCGCTTGCTCGTTTGCCTCGCTCCCTCACTGCTCCCTCCCACCAGTCATTGTTGTTCACACGGGCAACTCGCCATGCACGAGATTTATAGGATCGCTCCGTTCCACGCGGCGGCCCCGCGGCACACGCCTAGCGCCTCGGCGTGGGCGCGTCCCGGGCCTTGTCCTTGCGATCGTCGCGGTCCCTGTCCCTGTTCGGGAACCCCAGACATCCCGCGCCTTGGAAAAAGTCAGGCGGCCGACCCTTCGCCAATCTTGGCATCTTCAGGCTGGTTTCGGGCCTCAGGAACGTCAAATCCGACTCGAGATGAAAAACCAGCCCTGGGGAAGGGATCGAGAGGTCCGGGGGCCCACGCATCAAAGAAAGGGAAATAGCGGTCAATGAAAAGGAATCTTGGTGTCCTGGCTGATAAAATGCTGGCTTCTAAACGATCGTTGCAGTATTTTCTTTATTGTGTTTGTTGATCAGCTTTTTCTTCCCTTTTCTTTCCCTTGGCTGATCCTCCCTTTTCTTTCCCTTTAATTTTCGAGGAACGGGGGTCATCGCCAGCCTGGGTCCGCCAGGGCCAGCTCGGGAAACCAGGCTGGCTGGGAGGAAGCTCTGCGAGCATGGGGATTAAGAAACGAACAATGTAGGGGGCAAACCAACCTACCTCGCTTTTGACCACCCTCGCTTCCAGGAGATACCAAGCGATGCCAAACTACGACCTGTACTGGTCAGGCCGCTTGACGAGGAGGCGCGTGGTATGACTTGGTTTTGCCTGGAAGCGAAAGCGGGGTAGGTAATTCACGCTCTGACAATTATCCACTTACTTCCTCCTCAATCCCCCGGCGGGCCCACGCGGCTCCCAAGCCCAGGGTCGGCCAGGAATCGGAGCGGATTTGCTTCGGTGGCAGCGACCACGAACCTCTGGCAAAGGTGGCGCTGGCAATCTGCAAACCTGGAGTCACGATTGCGGGCAATACTTCTGTCTATATCCACTGCAGTATGGAGTTTCGGACTCCCTTCCCAAGAAACGCGAGACGCACTGGATATGGATAAATTTGCCCCCTAGAGGCTCGATTTTTATCCATATCCAGTGCGCCTCGGCCTTGTGGCGCCGCTTCCAAAAAAGTCCAAGAGGCACTGGATATGGATATGAGTCTTGCACGCAACGATGAGGG